CTGTCTGTCTCTGTCTCTGTCTCTCTCTCTCTCTCTCTCTCTCTCTCTCTCTCTCTCTCTCTCTCTTTCTCTGTCAACCTTCCCCCTTCCCTTTCCCCTCCCCTCCTCTTGCTTCTCCCTCTCCCTCCTTCTCTCTAAATTCTGAACCAAAACACATCATTCTATCCAAGTCTATCGGGCAAGCAGTTGTCATCTGACTCCTCTGACTAATGCTGTTGGTAGCTGTGGCTTTAGTCACCAAAGTATTGATTTACCACTGGGTTTATGAGAGGACAATTATTCAACTGAAAGAAAAGTAACTCAAAGGATGATTAGCAGAGAATCATCAAGGGAGAAGACCTCCCTCCAAGAGGCTGTTGTCCTGTCTGTTTTCCATCTCCAACTACAACCAAGGGGTGAGAATGAATTCGAACCAAAGCAAGAGGGACTTGGATCAAATATGAAAATAAGAAATGATAAACATTTTGAACAGATTAACAAGAGGGGTTAGGGGTTCCATCTCTCCAGAAATTTTTTGAAAGATTAGACTTTATTTCTCTGAAGTGATTTATGCACTTAAATCTAAGATGTAAAAAACATCTGAATAGAGTGAGAATGCAATCAGGAATGTCACCACAAAATATTGAACAAATGGGTATAAATATTCTTTGCCCTATGTTCTAAATATGTATTGATTGAACTTTTCAGGTCAGTTGGTCTTCATCAGAACCTTGAGCCAAAAATATAGATACATGTTCTCTCAATCTTTGATTAATATTTTATAATCTCATTAATCTCACCCTATTGTTAGGCTCAGGAAACTACCCCATAAAGATAAAAGTAGGGCAAAGAATTTGTGCATGTATAAATAAAACAAGTGAAACGCAAAGTAAAAATACGGAAGCCATTATGTCAATGTTTACTTAGTCACTTACATGCAACTGGGATTATGCTGTTTTTCAACATAGCTTTCATTAATCAGATTAGCTGATGGGTATTTTCCTCATTTTATATGTGGAGTTGGTGAATTTTTTAATATTTCTGCTCCCAAATGAAGTATCACTAATGTCCAAAAATAAGTGGATGGGTTATTTAATCGCCTAAATCAGTTGATCTTTTCACTAGAAATTTTCAGAGGTCTTCCCCCCCCCCCAGAGGTCTTAAAGCTAGTAAACTATCGATTACTGATATTTTTGTAAAAGAAAAACTTCTCCCCTATTATCCACTTTATCTGTTTTAGAATAATTAGAATATTATTATATCAAGCTTGCTAAAAGAAAGACCCATCTATGTTCAAAAGAATCACAGTCCTGTGGACATTTTTTCATGTTGTATTTGAATGGACAAACCTAGCATGATTCTTTTTTAAGATATTAGACAAAGATAACTGATACAGCTACAGAATACAAAAATGGGTCAATGAGTACAAAAGGAGATGAAACAGGAGAAAATTGTTCCTAAAAACATCTTTTGGGACGTGCGCCCAACTGTGACCCAATGTAGTCCTTTTGGACAATTCTCAACATTGTTGTTCTACAAAAGCTGATTTCAGGTTAGGTGTGGTGGCACATGCCTGTAAATCCAGCACGCAGGAGGCTGCGGCAGGAGGATGGCTGTAAGTTCAAAGGAAGCTTGAATTATATACTGAGACCCTGCCCCACCCCAAAAAGTTTTTTCATAGACATTGGGAGGAGATTGGTAGTTCCCCGATGCTGGGGAGATGAGTGGGTGAGCTAGGTGGAGATGGGTTGATCAGCGGGCGCTATGCTGGTGCACTTTTACACAATAAGTGGTGCTATGTACTGTGTGCTGTAAGTTTTCTTAAAAGCTAGAAGAAAGGATTAAACGTATATTTAGACACAAACAAGTGATAACTGTGTCAGGAGATATATTCTCCTGGATTTAGGCATTATGCAAAGGATATACATAGTGTGATTTTATAAGTCCAATTTTATTCATCAGTTAAAAAATAAATTGAAAAAGAGTTACAGGCAGATGGGAGCACAGCAGAGAGCAGATCAGAAGGGAAGTGCAGGTTCCATGCCGGGGTTGGCATCCTTGGAGATCAGAGGAAAACTGGGAAGCGGGACCTGGGCTTCATTCTCACCGACTGGGAAGACTGTTCTTGCAAACATAAGATTAGGGGCTCTAAAGGTTTTAGGAAGCTCCTCAGAGTCTTTGTTGATAAATGATAGTTATTATACCCCTGCTTGCCTCCTCTACAAGTAAATTTAGGTCTCCCCAACTCGTAGTCCTAAACACTAGATGGTTGCTGGTTGAATAGAGAGAAAATCTCAACCATTTGGTAAATCCATGAGCAATCACTGGAGCTGGAGAATTCCTTTTTCTGATGTGTGCTTTGGTCTAAGAAGAATGTTGGGTGAGAGCTGCTTACCAATGGAGTGAAGGGAGAGGTCCTGTCATGCTACAAGGAGAAAAGTAAAGTCAAGACTTCAGTTTGTTCTGCTTTGAAAGAAAAATAAGCATTTGCCTAGTGCAGCGGTACATACATGCCTGCAGTCCCAGCTAGCTGGCAGACTGGGGCAGGAGGATTAAAATCTCAGAGGTCAGCTGGGGCAATTTAGAGAGATCCTGCTGAAAAGTTTTGTTAGAAGAAGAAGGAGAAGGGGAAGGGGAAGAGGAAGAAGAGGAGAAGGAGGAGGAGGAGGAGGAAGAAGGAGAAGGAGAAGGAGGAGAAGGAGAAGAAGGAGGAGGAGGAGGAGGGAGGAAGGAGGAAGGAGGAGGAGGAGGAGGAGGAGGAGGAGGAGGAAGAAGA